AATGTGACGCCAAATATACAGCTAATCAATCATTTTGGAAATATTCACCTATTCAACAACAATTACATTCAGATAATTTGTCACAAAAAATTCGAGTACTTTCCCAACTTAATGAAACTAAAGGTTAGTAATACGGTTAGTGACAATTATGTAGGGTTTTTTAATCTAGTGCGTGTGCCTGTGTGCGTACAAGTGTGAATAGATTAATATAATGATAATTTTATTCTAGATTTTTGTTTTGCGGTTGTGCATTACAGTTAATTATAATAATTTTCATCGTTAACTTTCATACACAAAAGTAAACATAGCATATTTTTTAAATCGGTTTAAATCTAGCGTTATTTAAATTTTTTTTTGTATTTTAGAGTATGTTTATAATTAATTTAATTTTTTTAGTATCACAGACAGAGCAATTAATTGATGATATTGTGAAACTCAAAGAAGATAAAAACGTTATTCAACAAAGTGTTGATGCTGCCTTAAATAAACAAGCAGAGATTGAAAAAGAGTTGAATGTTTTGAACACCCAATATGAAAAAGTTAAGCTACTGATTGACCAAAAGCAATATGCAAGAACAAAACGATCAATGAATCCAACAACAGACATTATGAATAATGATACAGCATGTTCAACAAAATATCGGAGAAGAGATGAGTCACGTAATATTATGGAGTTTATTCATGGTGGCAGTGATGGTGCTATTTATGGTGCGTGGAATCTTCTATGTTATATTACTCCAATAAAATTGATGGAGCAGTTTACAGCAAATTACAAACGAGGAAAGTTCCTTGAAAATTTATGTGGATCAATTTCAAATAGCTATGTCAAAAGTAAAACTGGTTTAAACAAAGCAGTTGCCTTGAAATATATTAATTTTTTATCACAACGTAAGTACAATATGATATGCAAAGTCCAAAAATTCACATTTTCAGACAATTTTTCAAATATTTCCTCTGTAAATTCAGTTCAATACGGCAATGTCAACTATGAATTGAACATGTCAAATGTTTCAAATGCAAACATTGAAAAGTTTGTTAAGTCATTGGATATCGGGGAAATCCATCAAATTCCAGGCTATAGTGGAGTCTCAAGAACAGTGACTGCATTAGTAACAATGATAGCTGATTTAAATTTAAAAGTGAAAGTCCTAAACGAAAAACTTGTTTGGTTTAATGGTAACATTAACCATTTTGTTGTTGAGTTTTCTGATGATGGAGCTCCAGAGTCTCAAGAAAAAACCATGACGATTGGGACTTTATCAATGTGGAATTTTGGCAATCGCATCCGCAGTAGGGAGTTTCATTATTCACTACATATGATAACAGCCAGTGAAAAAGATAAAGTGTGTGAACTGTTGTGGAAACAGCATTCCGAAGAAATGGAGTTGATTGAAAGCAATGTCTTTAACATCAATAACATTAAAACAACTTTTGAATTTGTGCCTTCAGCCGATATTTCATGGTTGTGTTTTGCTGCGAATGTGTTACCAACAAGTGCAACTTATCCTTCTCCATTTGCTAACGTGCATAAAAGTGAGTTAACACATCGAAATAAAACTATTGGAGGTGCTGAGGCAACATGGCAGGTGCCAACCATGGATACACGACTGAAGGAATTAACAATCCTAAAAAAGTTTGAAAATACACAAAATGTGAATGCTTCAGAATCCGCAAGACATAGCGAAAAGTTAAATTTTATGGCAGAAAACGGAATCCGTCAACTTGGGGAACCTCATATTGGAAAATTTGCTGATTTGATTCGCCCAGAACCACTTCATTTAGAGATAAATAATTGGCAACACGTTCTTGATTTAATTTATAAAGAATCAGTTCGCCGTGGAGTTTTTGACCAATTTATAGATGCTTTAAGTAACCCACCTATAAAGAATCAGATGAATTAGGGTGTGGTTTAAAGTTTCTTGCTAAGAATATTAGAAAACATTATGAAAATGAAAGTAAAAAATTGAACAAGTTAGAAACAAGGTTAATTGGTGCTCAAGCGATTGCATTAGCTCAATATAGTTTCCGTTTGGTAGATATTTTACAGGTTGCTAATGAAAGTAGTATCGAGAAACTTAAAAGAGCTGCCTTGGCTAAGATATGTGAATCTTTGCGTGATGCTGGAGTTTTAATCAACAAGTTTAATTTTACATCAGAAAATTATCCGGCAGAGATGTCTAAGTACTGCAGCACTTATTTTAAATTATTTTCATTTTTTTTTCCAGAAAGCTGTCAAAGTACGGTATGGTCAATGGGATACGTTGTACCGTATCATGCATTGGAAATATATAAAAAATATCATGTTGGCTATGGAGTTTTATCTATGCAGGGAAAAGAATCTAGCCATTCATCTATAAAACAGCAACTTAGAAATAACACCAATCGATCAGTTTCATATGACGAGCAAGGAAAATGGCATCAACTGATGAGATCTAATTTTGTAAGAAATTTTTATCTCCCTTATCATTTCCCTATAAACATCACTTATCACTCACACTACAAATCAAGAGTACCAGCTGACTTAAACAGCGAATCAATATGTCATTGTTCACGACAACTTATTACAGAACAACTTTGTGAATGTTGCATTTTTGCAGTTCCATTAATGCAATGTGTTGAGAAAGGGGAACTAACCGAAGACGTTTTGGCTATTTTAAAACCATACCTATGTCAAATTTGCAATGAACAATTTGCTGACAAAAAAAAACTTTTTAAACACTTAACAGCACACACTAACAAACAAGTAGTCAATATTATTCCAAGAGACCTTTCATTAAAACAGTTAAAAGATGAATTGAGACTACGTAGTAAAAGTATTAGTGGAAACAAGGCGGAGTTAACTAGGAGATTGGAGGGTTTTTTAACTAAATAAATTAATTTATATATAAGATATTGTGTTTTGTTACAACAACGTCCAAAATGCTAAAATGTTGGATAAATGTAATAAATATGAAATTATATATATTTTTTAATGCCCCTCCTAAATAAACATCCGTTTTCCGTTCTCAGTCTTTAATCCAAAATTGTTTTGCTTTTGCAATTAACTTTTTTATTATATTAATTTTTACCTTCGTCGATAAAAGACGTCACCATTTTCCAGGCAAATTTTTACCCTTCCTTTGTTATGACTGTCCTTTTTTCCTTTACCTCCCCCCCCCTCCTGAAAAGAATGTCATAAAAAATCACACGTTTACATAGTTTTCCGTATTAAAATTGAAATAAAAAATCTTTAAAGTGACGTCCTATTCTGACAAACTACACCCTTTCCCCTTTATCCTTTTTTGTCTTAACACCTTCTTCCCCCGCCCCCTTCCTACTTGCACGCCGTAACAAATTGGGTCACCATAATTTGGCAAATGTAACCAAGAGGTCGGGGCATTGGAAAGGTGGGGAATCGCTGACATAGGATACTCCCCCCATATTCGAATCCGAATTTATCGAACTTTCAAAATATAACACGTTTTTGCCTAAATATTCTTACTGTTGCATTATCTTCGAACGGATAACAAAGTATTATTTTCATATAATATGAAGAAATGAATTCTAAGCAATTTTTTAAATTTAAATAGTAATTTTTGCCACTGTCATAATAATAAAGTTAGTTTTAATTTATTAAGTAACTGAGTAATAGGCAGTTTAACCGTAATGAAGGCAAGTAACCTATAAGAAGAAAAATACTTAGATAAAATATGTAATTTAATTTTGAGAACTGTTAGGAGTTTGTATACCTCGGATTGTATTGGACCTCAACGTCTGTTAACTAATTTAAATTTTTCCAGAACTTTTAAGACCAATAAAGTTATCATTATTATAAATTTATATTTAATATATTATTAATAAAATTAAGCATTTAAATGCTTAATTGTTTCAAAGGCTAAATAATTTTTATGGTCTGTTAGGTATTTATCTACATGAAACAATGATCATAAAATTTTACCATTTTATATATATAAGCTATTTAAAATATGCACATAAACAGTTAAAAAATTTGTGTATTTAAGTTTAATTGCATATTTTTTTTATATTATAAAAGAAATACTAATTTATAAGTAATTTTATATTTAATTTTTCTTAATCTGTTAACAAATTAAATATCTTTTATAAAATAATATTACCAAATTAAGTTTAATAAACATGTTCAGTATTACCCTTCTAAAACAAATAATCATTATATATATATATATATATATATATATATATATATATATATATATATATATATATATATATATATATATATATATATATATATATATATATATATATATATATATATATATATATATATATATATATATATATGTATATGTATATGTATAATATATATATACATATATATATACATATATATATATATATATATATATATATATATATATATATATATATATATATATATATATATATATATATATATATATATACATATATACATATACTCCTAGCGGATGCATACAGGGACATATATATTTTGTTTCCGTAACATACTTTTCATATAATTTTTCTTTTCTATTTTTAACATATATGTTATTTTTTTTATATTTTTATTTTATGTCTATTTTTATTTACACATATTCAAGTTTATTATTTTGTTTTAATAAATTATTTTTTTAAATATTTATATTGTTTTTATTTAGTTAATATATATTTTATTTCATTTTTTTAAATACATATTTACAAAAACAATTATTTACAAAAAACTAACCATATTTAAACCTTGCCCCAACCCTAACCCATAATCTTAACCCTGACCCCAAACCCTCAGTCGATGTAGCAGCACTCAGAGACGAGTCAGGCTATAAGATAGTGGGTCCATGTACTTTTTGCTTTTGCATAAAAGTTGCTTATGGGGACGTTTCATTTACAAAAAAATGATGCTTACGGGGACAAAAGATTTAAGAGTACAGATAATGTCCCCATTAAATCAAAAATCCCCAGTAAATGTCTATTTTTTGTAAAACCAGTAAATGCTATGGTAGTCGTATATATATATATATATATATATATATATATATATATATATATATATATATATATATTTATATATATATATATATATATTTATATATATATAAAATGTTGTATATATATACACACATGTGTGTATATAATATATACACACAAACCACATATACATATATATATATATATATATATATATATATATATATATATATATATATATATATATATATATATATACAGACACATTTGTACATATATACATTCTTTATTTATATAGTATATATTTAAAGTTCACAAATTATTGGTTCATTAATGCTTGTAATGAAGAATCAACAACAAAATTATCTGCAGTGTATCTTTGAATGTAAAAGTTTATTCTAATTTATTGTGTGTTGTGAGAATATTGAAATTGAATTGGAGTGTTATCAGTTAGTACAATCTCTGCGCTACCATTATATGCGAGGTGCTTGTTTTTGTTTGTTTCCCCATTAACTTTGTGAAAAATCCTTTTTACCAAAAAATTTGTTCCATCAAATCGTGAAGGGTCAAATATTTTTTTTGCTGCATCTTTTGATGTTATCTTCATCTGCAGTTTTTTTTTTTTGCTTCTGTCTGCCTGTACCATGATGCAAGAACAACCATAAGCTTTCATCAGACTTATTATATTTTTCATTATTCCCCATGGAATAAACAACGAAGCTGTAGGAGCTAAACCTGTCGTCTTTCCTCTTGCCAGTTTACGAAGAAATATCTTACCAATTTCTTTAAGGTAGCCATCTACCAGTGGACCAGCCAATAACATGTGGTAACCTATATGTCTCTCGACATTAGCATTCATTTCGTCTCCACCAAAAGATTTTTCAGTATTAACCCCATCAATTATTTCTTTAGCCCACCTGGGTTCGCATGTTCCTTCCCGTAGTTCTTCTTCAACCCAAAAGTTATTTCCTCTTTCTATAGACATTTGTTTATTCGTATGTTTAACTTAAATAAGAATGCCAAACTTGTTTGTTAAACTGTTTTCGTTACATCCGCATCCGTAAATCTCGTTAACCAAAGCAAGTGGGAGAAAATCAATCAAAAAAAATCGCCGTGATTAGTATCATGGCGTGGTAAACTTTCCAAAACTCGAAACAATTGATGCATTGTTAAATTGTTTTGATATGCATTAAACATTTCAAAACATCGATTAATAGTTTTACCGTAATCTGTTTTATTCAAATCAAGATCTTCTTCTTTAACGTTTAAAAAAATTTCACATCTTTTTCAATCACTAGCAATATCTTTTGATAATTGCAACAAAATAAGTTGTCGTAGAATATATTTTTATTTACTTCAACTTAGTTTTGACTATATTTTTCTTTATTCATTTTTTTGTATCTTCTAAAAAACAATTACAGTTATAATGTACTTTTTTAGATTGGGATTGAGAAAAACATGTATTGCAACTGTCTTCAAAACAACCTACAAAACTTATTTTTTCAATAAAACCAACAAAACAGTCTGTCCATTCTAAAAAATGGTCAGATATGAGAATTCGTCCGTTAAGATTAACACATTATAATTTAGAAGTATAATACTTGCTTTTTTCTCTTTCCATAAAATCTTTTAAATTGAATTCTCAAAACCAATTTCTTTTAATTTGGTTTCGAGTTGTTTAACAGATAACATTTGATCAAACAAATTATATTTCTTTTTTTTTTACAATTTTTATTTGTTTACAGCTAAAAAAAAAATTTTATTACATTTTATAGTTTTATTAAATCATATAATAAAAGAAATAAAACTTTGCAATTAAACGTAATCATTGAGATGTATCGTTCCGATGATTTTATAATATTTTTTTCAATTTCGGGTAACGCTTGTATATGTTCATCGCTACCAAATTTTTCGATATCGGGTAAAACTTTTAAATTAGCTTCTCGAATCGGATCTAAGCGATAACAACCGCGTATTTCTGTAAACAAATCGTCAACAAATACATAGCTTTTTGGAGTAAATTTTTTTTAAAATTCAATAACGTGTTTGTTAATGGTTACCTTTTTAAAAATTAAATTTAATCTGTTTTGTACAAAAGTTTGTCATTCGTTTTCTAATTGGTTAAGTATATTTCTAAATATTTTTTCAGCTCTATGCGTATTGAACCCGTGTATGTAATGCGTTTAACAAAATTTGTAATTGGGTAATCCTTTGGATCCGTTTTTGTGTTCGTCTTGACCTTTATCTTTAATTTCTTTCTTTTATTATATGCGCGCTGTAACATTTAGGTGCCATAGCAAAAACCTCTCCAATATAAGACGGAGGAGGAATTTCGTCATAAAAGTGATCGCTTTTTTTAGCATATAAAGTCGAATAAAATTCGTGTGTTGTACTATAATTGGAATAATCCATCCATCGTTGTCCAATTTATGAAGAATAAATCCATTGTTCTACTTTTAAACAATAAATCTCTTGCTTGTCGTCCATTTTTTTAGTAATATAAAAAAACAACCTGAATCTGTGTCTGTAAGTACCAAATGTTTTTCTGCGTTGTGATTTATTAACACTTCTCATGCAAAACACTCTTTATGCAAAACGAGTAACGTTAAGTTTGGCTGGAGATATTATTTAAGAAGCAACGTAAACGCATTTGTTTGTTTATCAAACTACTTTTTTTGCTACTCACAATAAGTAGACAGTCTTTGAACATGTTTATATCTGATTTTAAAAGTTCAAAAACGTCTTGAAATTCTTTGTTATGTTTTCATGCTGAACATTATATTTTTTGTTTTTACGTCAATTAATTCATTAAAAAAAATCATTATAATACTCGTCATACGTAAAATGCTCAGTAACACACTTGTCTATGCATATTTTTTTTCAAATATATCAACTTTGTATTTTTCTGGTTCTATGTTAACAAATATACCGTATTCGTACAACATATTTTGAAAAAGAATAGGAAACAAAGATTTAATTTTTTCTTCATAAAGACCTTCCTGTAATAAAACAAGACGAATGTCTAGAAAATGTTTTATTAAATTTTGAAAAGCTTTTAGTTCGTGATTAATAAACTGACTCAATTGTTTGATAGCCGTGATTTGACTTTTGAACCCATAATGTCCGTTAGTGTGAAATTTAGCTGTAGGGTCTACTACTTTGTCTCCATTTTTCACGGCTTCTTATCTTTTTTTAATATTTTTCTGACAAATTCTTACAAAAACAAGACCGAATGAGGATCAAGAAAGAACGCTCAGCAATGTCATGAAGAAATTTTTAGTACAAAAGTGCGGTTTAGATGAGCCATCCACATCAGCAGCAACTGATTTGGCAAATAACAACACAGTGCCGCCCCAATCACTTCCAGAAGAAGTTGTTGAGGAGAGCCAAATACTAACACCATCAGATCTTCATGAACAGCCGGGCAGCACATCCACGTCAACTGCGACTGCCTTGGATTTGGCAAATAAAAACACAGTGCCGCCCCAATCAATTCCAGAAAAAAATTGTTGAAGAGATCTTAAAAATAACATCATCAGAAGTTCATCAAGAACCGGGCCGCATTAGCAGTGGCAGTCAGCAGGTATTAAAAAAAATTCCTTCAGATCCTGCATTATGGCTTACTTTCTGCATGTCATCTCAAACTCGTCAACTACTGGTTGAGAGGGGTCCCCATCAAATTAAAGAATTCGAGTTTCCTATTAATAAAGGAAAGCGTAGATTTTTGCCTTCGTATTATTCGAAAGTGTTGAGCAATGGTGAAGTCGTTGAGAGAAGTTGGCTTATTTACTCTATTGCTAGTGATACCGTTTTTTGCTTTTGTTGTATATTATTTGATAATTCATCTGATATTAGTGACTGGCCCAAAAAAGGCTATTCTGACTGGAAAAATCTTATAAGAGCCCTCACAATGCACGAAAAGTCTGTAAATCACAGAAATGCTTTTAGAGCATAGAAAGAATTGGACATTCGATTGAAGCAGAAAAAAACTATTGACGCTGAATATAATACGGCATTTCGAAGATTTGCCTCATAATGAGAAAATCTACCGCACGGGCTTGAGTTTAAGGTATATTATATGTTTAGTTAATGAAAATAAGTTTAAATAAGTTAACAATAAAAAAATTAATTATTAAATTGCATTATGGCGCGTACAAAAAAAAATATCAAAAAGTGATTATAAAGAATTTGTTCGACTCAGAGGCATACACAGTCGACACGGTGGAAAAATTGCAAATCAAGTGCGTCAATTAGGTCGACAGCCTCAAGTTGTAAGAAACAAAATGGATAGTAAAGAAATTGCAAATCGATTAGTAAAAAAGCTGGATTGCAAAACGGTTTGGTACAAAAATCGCGCAACAAAACAAAAGTATAAAAATACAAAAAATAATATTAAAAACGGCGTGGTAGGAGATATAGTTCATAAATGGGTATTAACAAAAAGGTAAAAAATATAGTGTTTGATGATGGATCTTACTATTCCTGTTAGTCAAAAGCGTTCCAGCCGTTCCAAAACGTATTTTTCCGTTCCGGCGACCAATGGGAATGCTTAAAACGTACCACGTGACTATCACCTGACTTGACGAACCAATGAGATTGTATCAGAAAGGCAAACTCTGACAGGGTAAAAAGGATATATTATAAAAAAGCGAATGTTCCGGCATTGTTATACACCATGTGACCGTAAAGTGACCAATGGGCAATGGGCATTGGAAATCGGACGTCATACTCTGCGTCATAGTGTGCGGTGCGCATGCGCACCCCCCGCAAGGGGGTTGCGTGGCATGCGCCTTCAGATCTTAGTTGTGTCTAGACAGATCTTAAGACTGGTTAGTGTCTAAGACTGGTTAGTGCGTCATGTTAAAAAAAAGTGTGTACTGCGCAAGCTTAGTGCGTCAAAGCTGTGTTAAAAATAAAAAAAATAATCCTTTTATTTAAACAAAATTTAAATCTTTTTATCTTTTTATTTAAATAAAGTTAATACGCGTAACGCATTAAATAAAAAGAGAAAAAAAAAATATTTTTTTAATATTATCATACGAAATTAAAAATAATAAAGTCTTCAAAAAAAAAAAAATTAATATTTTTATAGTTAAAAAAAATAATCGACAATGAATAATCGACAATGTAACAACAAACCTGTAATTATATATATATTTTTTTCTATTATATTTTTTTTATACTATTTATACTGTATTATATTATATTCATTTTGTTTTTTAAATTGTAGAACCTTATAACCCACGCGAGGACATAATTGAGGAAGAACGACAACGAGAACAACAAATACACCAAGAACAAGAAATTCAGCGAAGAATTCGGAATTTGTTTCAACCGATTGCCCCGCCACCAGAAGACGATGAAGACGATGAAGATGATGAGGATGATGATGATGATGTTGAAAATGTTGAAATTGATGAAGAAAATGTTAAAAGAAATAATTATGAATTAAATTTACCTGTAGTTTGTAATAACTTAATATTTATTTATTTTGTTTTATTTGTTTTTTATTTAGTTATTTTATATTGTATAGCAAAATTATGATTAATATTTTTTTTTTGTAGTACCATCAATCGAATCGGCCTGCATAGGTTGTTGCCTATGCTTTCCTCCGTTGAGACCGCGAAGACCTTGTTGTTCTTGTCGTTGTGGTCTTCAATGAGCTTGCGTAGGTTGTTGTATTTGCACATTCAACACGATGCAGGCGGTTCGAGCTGCGATGATGGAAAAGATAGAAACAAAAAGAAGAATATGGTTAAACCAGGCGAAGGAATATCAAGATTGATATTTTTTTTTTGTATAAATAATTTTGTGTAAATAATTTTGTAAATATTTTTTTATGTATTTTTTTTTTTAATATTGTATATAGTATATTTTGTTATTATTTTTTTGTAATAAATTGAAAAAAAAAAAACATTTTTTATTTAAAATACAAAATGAGTTTAACAAAGTTACAAAGTTATAATAAAAATATAGATTCTTTAATTGAATACGGTGAACAATTAAAAAAGCGTATAGAAAAGAAATCGTACAATTGTTCTTTATTAGATAGGATTCGCAAAGATAAAAAAGGATTAAATGTTGATAATATAAAAAAAGATTATTCATAACTTCTCTGAGACAATCATTTTCCCATCGATGTATATATTGATCATTAGATATGAACTTAATATCCAAAATCCAAAACTAAAAAAAATAAAAAAAAAACGGTTATATTAATATAATCAATGTTGTTTTTTTAACAAAAAAATTTTATCATGTTAAAAAAAAAGAGTATAAAAACAAAATAGTAAATAAAAAAGTAAATTATTTTAAAAAAAAAAATGAATCGCGTTGATAGCATAATTTAAAAAATTCACAATAATTGCGCTCTATGCGCTTTAGATGAAATATCTAAAAAATATCACGAAAATTATGAAAACAAATCTGGAAATTCTTCACCGCGATCTGTAAATGAGGATTCACTAACTGATGAAAGTTCTAGCTTATTTTTAGAACACATTTTAAATTCAAAACGCATCAGTTTTAATTCAAGCGCAATTGAAAAATGTTTCAAAAACAGTCAATTTAAAGATTTGTTAGAAGAACCTCAACTTTGCACTTATCATGTAGAACTCTTTAATAAATTAGAAAAAGAACATGTCAACGATAACCTCATAGCCGAATATTACAAATGTAAATTGTCCGTTTTTTTGCTCTAAAGACAAATTCAACCTGTCATACAGCAAGAAGGTGATCAAACAGACGGTTTCATTGATACGTTTACAACCAAAATTAAACCTACCATGGCAATTTTATTAGAAAAACTCGATGCCGCATTAAAAAAGAAAGTTGTTAAAAGAAATATAGAAGGAATATTTAAAGACAGTTTAGATAATAAAAAGAATTTATTTGTTAATGTATTGCATGCTATTGTAACATTATTTGTATCCAGTTATTTTAATTTAGAAGAATAAAAAAAAATGTGCACTAACGAATCTTTAACTCAGTTTTTCAATCATCAACCTTTTAAAAATTATTTTTTAGGTGTTTATGCTTTTAACGAATTGAGTCAATATGCCACAAGAAAACAATTGATTAAAAAATTGCAAAAAGTAGGCTCTTTTTTTATATATAATAATCAAACTTCAAATCAATTAGGTGAACATTGGAGACTTTTTATGAAAATAGAAGACAATCATTTTTTTTGTTTTGATAGTTTAGGAGGAGAAAGTTTTCAAAGACAAATACCCCCCTTTTTAAGATACAATTTGCATTTGTTTGAAGCTGTAGACGAAGTAAAAAGTAGCATACAAATTAACACTTTAAATTTAAATTATAACGAAATTGAAATTTCTTCTTATGTTCGAGAAACAAATCATTTTCCTACAGAATGGACAGCTAATAATAGTGAATTTTTTTGGTTTACTTTGTTTATGGTCAATTATAGCAACCTAACCGGACAACAAAATTTGTTAGTATCTTATAACAAATCGTGTTTTCAATGGAATTCGAGTAGCTTGTGCGGCGCTTTTGCAGCTTATTTTGCTTCTATAGTCTTAACGTCTGAGGAATTTGTATATAATAAAATTTTATATTTACCTTTAATGAACAGGCTCCTAAATTTGAAATTTTTTGAAGTTTCCTTTCTTCGTTCATCTGAATTAGTTCAACTAAACTTAGGTTCATTTTTCGATTTTATAAAAATAAGAATGGTCCCTTTCTTAGATCAATTTGCTAAAGAACTATTTAGTAAGGACATGAAATTACATGTTGATATGCGAGCGCAAGAAAGACTGGATCGCAATTTATTGAAAATGAAAAACAAAGAAGAACCAATAGAAACAGATATTTTTAAAAAAGAAGTGTTGCTGCATAACAAAATGAAAATCTTTTTAAAAGATGCTGATTTGTTAAGAACAAACAATGAATGTCAATGGGGTAAATTGAGCATTCTAGATTTGATTGTTATGAATCAATATATGAATGGAGAAAATATCTATTTTTTGCAAGATCAAAATTTAAAAGCAATTTATCTTAACAATTATAAAAGATTACGTGATTTACATCTATTTATGGATACTCCGTTAGATGATCGACTTACCAGAAATCAAATAAAAATGCTCACTTTGCAACAATATTTATAAAAAAAAAATGTCAACCATCGTCAAACAAAGTCTTTTTCCAATAATCAGAAAAAAAGTGTGGGAACCGTGCTACGAATGTAATGGACACGGAAAAGTATTTATTGTGACACTGAAGAAAAGTGTAGAAAATGTGATGAAAATGCGAGAATTTATATATTATAATGGTTATGATCAGAGAAAAGTCAACAACTTTTTATTAAAAAACAATATTATGAACTACCCAAAACCTTATTTATGTCGATTATGTTTGGGGACAAAAAGAACATTGATGATCAAAAGTAAAAAACAATATATAAATAAAAACATTGATTATAAAATTTTTTTTTATTTTATTTAAAATGAATATAAATACATTTTTTTTTTGTTAATTTACTGTTTTTTTTTTGTTAATATACTGCAAATACTTTATCAGACGGTATTCCCATATTTGAAGGCGCAGTAGGTAGAGATACAGCGGGTGGTGGTTTTTTCTTTCCTCTCCATACTTTTCTTAAACCGTATAACAACGAACCCACTTGCAAAGCGTTTGATACATTTTTAGGAGTAACAAAATCAGCGAAACCTTTTTCTCACTTTAATTTTCGTTTTCGTTTCGTAGGTTTTCTTTTTTTTTTATAACATAGATATACATTTTTTTTTCTATTCATCTTGACCTAACCAAAGGCTTAAAGAATTTTTTAGGTCTTTTAAAAATTGTTGAAACGGTATACAAAATTCACGAGTTTCGTTATCCGTTATAAATACGATATTAACATTATCATTTGAACGAGTTACTTTTATTTGATTAGCCTCATTGAAACAAAAAATTAAATTAAATTTCCCAACGCAT